TGATGTCTGTAAATTTTATCCTTCACCCAAAAGGCAGAGTCCTTGTGGAGATCTCCATAAGGTTAAGTATTGTGTACAAAAGGGACCACAAAGCGTTGATTTCTGTGGTCTTTGAGTACACGGAGCTCTCAGTGAGATCGTGGCCAATGATTAGGCTTTTTGAGCATGACATCTTTCACCAGCTGCACTTTATCCTAGCCAGAGTAGTATAATGGTTAGATGGTAGGACTATGCCCAGGAGAGACCCTGGTTCAAATATTGGTCCCAGATGAATGGAGATTTCTTGTTTTGCAGAGGAAAAAGAGTAACTATTGCTTCTAATCCAGACCTGCACAATTTATGGTCGTATGTGCCTTGCAGCCAGCAAAATGTTTGAAAACCTCAATTTCCCCAGTCCTAGGAATAAATGCAGCAAATACAGGAGGTTGGGTAGGGATCATACATGGGCTGCATTTGGCTTGGTGGGTGTGTTGGCTTGCCTTAATCAAATGACATTTGTTGTTTAGGAGCCTTGTACAGTTGGTAAAGCAGAGTTTAAAGGCAGGATAGAGTCTGCTGTTGTGTTGGTCTATTGTACTCTGCATTCTGAGTCAGAGAAGCATCAGAGTGCCTCAGACCAATCCATAAGGGATCCATTTAGATGAAAAATAATAAATAAATAAAATTTAAAAATGGCCATGTAATTGGATTTTACAGCATGGTTGGGTTTTTCCGCTGATAAAAATGCCACTAGGGTGCCTTACAGTATTATTCCACCATATGTGCTCCATTGCAGTATTATGGGAAACGTGGTCCTTAAACTGCACGCACGAATGCTTTTGGAAGAGGCACTTGGTAAATGCACTGTAGTAAAACATCCAGCTGAAGTCCTCCCGTTTGAAACTCCTCAGAACCCATGGAGAGCCAGTCCTGGAGTTTCCGCTTCTTGCCTACTTTTATATATTAATCCCATATTTTATCTTTTGGCCTGTTCATGGATGCTGACGCTCCATTTTATTTTTTTCCGTACTGAGAAAGTCACAAAAAATGTGCTTGGTTTCATCAATACTGTTAAGGGCTCTTATTACCAAATAAAAACTGCTAAAATGATTTTTCTGTTTGCGGTATTCATAAAGGTAACACATAACAGTTTTCAGTCCGAGTCCCAATGGATGTTGCAAGCAGGACAGTAAAAGAATAAGTTCACATTGTATTTTACTAACCAACTACCTCCTTCCTGGTTTGCCTTAACAGTCGATTAGATTTACATTTTTGTTCAGGCTTCAGGGCATCAGTTTAAAAGCAGCCATATCAGCCGTCCCTGGTGCAGTGTGTGTGTGTGTGGGGGGGGGGAGGCATGATAAAGGAAAGCCCATAAGATCCCGATCAAGATGTTGTTCACACTCGCTGGTTTTGTGCAGTGTCCTCTTTCCAGATGGATGCCCCACTGTACAAGGATTTCCTGCTCAAGGCTATTCTCTGTGCAATTCTGTGTACTGCCAATTTTTCCCTGTAAGTGGCCCAATTCAATTTAATGATGACCAGAATGGCTGAACATCTTGATCTTACTCCACACCCCCTTATGCAGTCTTTTGCCAAGGCGCTTGAGGATAATTTGAAATAAGCTTTAAGGACGTATACTTGCTGACTAAAGGAACTGTTTCGGTTTCCAAAGCGGAGATTGTTAAGCCCATTGTTGCCCTAGAACAGTCCACAAGAAAAATCTCAGCATCAGAATTCATTTCAGCAAGGCCTGCCTAAGAAGCACAGGCTGCGCCTGGTGAAGGAAATGGTTCCAGGAACATCTTGTTTTGCCTGCTATTGTTATTCTTCCTGAGCAAAACTTATACACAGCACATAGGGGATCCAAAACAGCTTCTGTTTGTCAGGAAATTACTGATGTACAGGCCTGTTGAGGGGATTTAAAGCCCCCCCCCCAATAAATCTGGGCAACCCTCTTCTGACCAGTGTTGCTGACAACATGTATCGCCATGGTGGCCTGCTTTCCAAAGAAATCCTCCCAGCCTCAGTAGCATTCTCAGGTCCATGTTGCTCTTTGCAGCAACACCCGGAAATTGCCTCTGGTGTCTGTCAGAACTTTCAGGTTCCGTGCCTCATTTCCCTCATCAGGTTTTACCTGGTTTGTAGCCTCGAGTATGGCAACAACACACTCCTGACCAGTCCCTCGCAAAGATGCCCAAATACCAATAGTGCACACCCCTGTTGTTAACCCTCTCAGAGAGCACTCAATGGTTGGTGTGACAGAACTTCCCTTTACAGAAGCCATGGTGGATGGTTTTAATTTAATTTGAATAAAATTAGACTGAAATGCCAGAAAATTTGCTGTGTCTAACAGAGTTGCATGTTGTGGCCTTAAATAGATGTCATGACGTACCTTTTAGTGGCCGACGAATGCCTTGCAAGCAATGAACATTGTGTCCTGAGACAATGAGATCATCTCCTGATAACACGCATGGTTCTTTTCTATCATCGTATCACTGGTTCTTCTTTCCATAAGCGTTGACTTCGGAGAGAGCTGTAAAACCTTTGCTGCACCCTGGAGAAGAGAAACTAACTAGAACTAATTCGCTGAGACAGTTAGCATGTGAAAAAGAATGTCATATTGTGGAAACGATGCTCTGTAAGACAAGATTTGACTCCTTTTCCCAGACAGAGAAATTGAGATTCCAGTTCCACTCACTTTAATTCCTGGGTTGCGACTGTAAAAAGATACTTCTCAATGAAGGCATTGTACAAATGGAGGAAACAAAAAATGACAATGGAATTTGGAAATAGTTATATTCATTATTATCCTAAGTGCAGGTGGAGCCTGTAATCATAAGCAACAGAGAAGCGTGAAAGGAATTTTTGGAACACTATACGCACTTAAGGACAAAAGGATTCCAACAGTAAATGTCAATGAAATTTTGCAGATTGTTAATTGAATGATTCTAGAATGGCCTCCTTCTCCATTTGTTGTTTTATGTGGTTTCACTACATAATGCCACAGAAGTTGGCTGATAACTGATTCATTCTGTTCTTTCCAGAACTCTAGTGCAGATCATAGAGTTCGACTGGACCTTGGACTTTGGGACAAATTCAGTGAACTAGCTACAAAGTGCATTATTAAAATAGTGGAATTTGCAAAACGGTTGCCTGGTTTTACAAGTTTGACCATTGCAGATCAGATCACACTACTTAAAGCCGCCTGCTTGGACATCTTGGTATGTATCTCTTCCTTTCAGTAGGATTGATTTTGGCTTGATTATATTTACAGGCAGGGATTTTTTTTTAGTTTACTGGCAGGGTTTGTTTGTTTGTTTCTTTTTAAAAAGAGGTGTTGGAACTCTCAAGAGGGAAATGAAGTTTTCAATCTGTATACTGAAAACTCATGAACTTTTAAACATTTTAAAAATAATTTTGTCAAAGAGGTTCTGGAACTCTGTCCCGGCTCGTTCCCCTAGGAAAAAGCCCTGTTTACAGGTATACTTCTGTAAGTTTATAAGAACACAAGAACATAAGAGAAGCCCATGTTGGATCAGGCCAATGGCCCATCCAGTCCAACACTGTGTCACACAGTGGCCAAAAATACCAGGTGCCATCAGGAGGTCCAGCAGTGGGACCAGGACACTAGAAGCCCTCCCACTGTTGCCCCCCCCCAAGCACCAAGAATACAATGCATCACTTGCCCCAGACTGAGAGTTCCTATCTATACCTTGTGGCTAATAGCCGCTGATGGACCTCTGCTCCATATGTTTAACTTAATCCATATGATTGATGTTCATGACAGAGACACAGTGAGCGTAATCTAGCATCCATATTGCATGGAGATAGTTATTAATTTTGGAGGATTTTTTGTGGAAATCCAGCACAAACACCATTGAAATTACTTCAAGCTGAGCAGCAAAGTTATTGTGAGAATGTTGAATGACAGAGAGCAGAATGTGTTCTGGAGATAAGAGCTAGAATGTCCTGCAAATATTTGTGGACTCTCACTTAAGTACAGATACCTACATGTTACAGACTCATAATATTCAAAGATGAACTGTCTTATATGGTCAGACCAGTGACCTGTCTATTTAATGCTGACTGTCCAGGTTGTCAGACAAACATCCTTCACAACCCTGCTGCCTTTTTAACTAGACCAGGGGTGGTCAAACTGTGGCAACTCCTGGCAGGGTGGCTGGGGAAGCAAAGGGGAGGCATGCCTCCCCAAAAAGTCTTCCCTTCTCCAGCCAGTGTTCCCCTCCATGGGTAGTCTTGAGGTGGGGGGAACAGAGAAAGAAAGCAACTTTAACTGTAAATGCGTTCTCAAAGGCCCCCCCACTGGCCAGCTTGGAGAAGGCATTTGTCTCTTTAAATCCCTTTGCCAAACTAGCTGGCGTGGGGGGGGGGGGCTTGGAGGGCACCTTTAAAGTTA